TTGGGGATGTGCTAATCGCCTTCCTGATATTATTGATCTTTTCAGAAAAGGAGGAAGTAAACTCATTGCATTTGCTGTAAGAGAGCATTTCACTGGCAATCTGACTTGGGGGGTTTGTCAGTCTCTCAACAGTAGCAGAAAGAATGCGAGTGCTGTTTAAGTTACTGTTTATAAGGTTTGAGAGGAATGACTGTCTAGCTTTGCCTAGTAGAGAGATATTGTTGTCACCTGTCAAATCTCTGCCATAGCCAGTTCACATAAGACAGTATTTAGCCTGTTATTTACCCTGGACTCCAGTTTCTGGAGCTGTTTCTTTCCACCCTTCATGGCCAGACTCTCAGCCTCATCCAGACGGTGCTGCAGGTCTTTGACAGTCACCTCCATGTTCTTCTTCATCCTCTCTAGATGAGAACTGGTGTCCTGCTCCTTCTTCAGCTCCTCAGCCATCATCGCAGCCTGAAATATAAGCCAATTAAAATGAATTAATCAATATAGATAGAAATGCCTTCCATGAAGGGTCCCTTTGTTACCACATGCAGTTAAATGAAGTTAAATTACTGTTTGATTTAGAGTAGAGTAAGAGAATGTAAACACTCAAATCAGTGATGGCCTTCTTGGCCTTCTCCTCTGCATTTCTGGCCTCCTGGACTGCATCATCCACCTCACCTTGAACCTGGACCAGATCAGCCTCAAGCTTCTTCTTGGTGTTAATAAGACTTGTATTCTAGCAGTCCCACACGTTCACTGGCATCCACCAGCTCCTGCTCCGCCACTTTGCGGCCTCTCTCTGTTTGCTCCAGTGCAGCTCTCAGCTCCTCAATCTCTGCTTGCATCCTGCGCTCCACCATGGCAACCTGCTCCTTCATGTCCTCCTGTCCTCTGAGAGCTTCATCAAGGTGCAGTTGTGCATCCTGTGGCAATGTTCTTTTATGTATTAGTTGTTATGCTTTAGTTAATTCATGTATCATTTTCACATGATCAAACATATAATTTGTGTTGCAATTCCACATTCTACAAAAGTAGGGATGCACCGGTACCACTTCTTCCAGAACGAGTCGATACTGATACTTTTTTTATTTTTGGTACTTGCCGATACAGATACCTGTATTTTCAAAGCATTTGTAATTTTTTTTAAAATTTTGGGTACAGTAACCAAAAAAATATGAATTATGTTAGCTGGCTTGATTTAGCAAACAGATATTTCCTTCAGTTATTTTCACATGTATTTATGCCCGTTAAAATGTATTGTACAAGCTTTTGTTACTTTCACTGTTCATTTTATTGCTCTATCGTATTTTGTCTTTAATTTTATAGCAAAGTGCACATTAGAACTGCTCTACTGCAGCGGCTCAGTACTGTAATCACAAGACGTTTTCCTGTAATAATGCAGGTGACCACTCGTTAGACAAAAATCTTGTAACAGCGATGAACAGATTATCTGAAATCTAAGTCGTGTTTTTATCTGAAACGTGCTGCGACTTATATTCCAAAGTGACTCATATAATACAATTAAAGTGTCATGAAATGCCAAACTACTTTTTCAGAGATTTTAGCGGTGGTGTTTGTGTTGCACATCATAGAAGACAATGTTAGCATCCATTCATTTTAATTGTTGGAGAAAACTAACATTTTAATTTTAAAACATTAATTTTGAGATTTTTTAGCCATTTTTGTCTTCCAAGTTTAAAATCTACATCTTGTTGAAGTCACAGTTTAGCACCCGTTAGCTTGTAGATGCTGATTTTCTCATCAGCAGTGAAGCCCAGAATATCAATGGCAGTCTATTTTCACAACGACCAAATAAATCACATTATTTATCACAGAGTCAAAAAAGAAAGAAGTGTATTTTATATTGTGTGTCATACAGTATTCAGTTTATGCTGGTGTTTTCCTGATGTTCATTTACTCAGATATATTTAATAGAATCTGGAAATAGTACTACTACTAATAATAATGAAGTTGTCCACATACATCTGTGGCAATGAACTCCTCGACATCATTGATGCTTTTGACAGAGATTTCACACTGGCTGATCATTGGATAGTCATAAGGGTTGGTGGTGATGAGCAGGGCCTCTATAAAGGGTTGATGTGCAGCATGTTATCAGTGTTCACAAACATGGAAATAACTGAAGCACACAATCCTGTAGATTTCTCACCGAGCAGCTCTGGCTTGTGTCCAGTCATGAGCTGGTAGAAGATGTGGTAATTCCTCTCAGCAGACAGCTGGAATGTCACCGAGACTTTTCTAGCAGATCTTCCCAAGAAAATAATGGTTAAAAAAGAAATTAGAGTTCAATTGATTGATCCATCTGTTAGCATCCAAATAAAAATATTTGCCTTAAAACAAGGTTGACTCACAAGTTTCAATATCAGCTGAGGCCAGTTTCCCAGTGGTCGCAAAGTGAATCCTGATGAATTTACCCTACAGAGAGTAAATATTCAGAACAGCTTAGAATTTCTTCGATTTGGAATGTTAAGTGAATTTGTATAATGCATTTCATTTGACCTCAGCAACTTACAAAACGAGAGGAGTTGTCATTCCTTACAGTCTTGGCATTTCCATAAGCCTCCAGCAGAGGGTTGGCTGCAATGATTTGATCCTCTAGCGACCCCTGGTGAGTATTTAAGTAATTTCATCATGTAGAATAATTCTGTCACTGTGCTTTAGATGATGTTTGATTTAGTGTAGTGACCTGCATTTTGCCAGGGACAGGTTCTGCCTTCTTCGGTCCAGACACAGCGATTGTCGCAAAGTACTGGATCACACGTTTGGTGTTGACAGTCTTTCCTGCACCAGATTCTCCACTGAGTGGAAAAGATGGAAAATAACATATTTTAGAATCTTAGAAATGACTTGTTTGATACGTTAGCTTTTGTTTAAGTGCTTCTTTAAAAACCATAATCTTCAGGCACTGCATTTTCATGCACACCAGAAATCTACATCAATGTACATGCATGGTTTTAGTGGCATTGTCTAATCCTCGTATACAAGCAACACCATAAGGAAGGAGGTTTCCCCCAACACATTTTTTTTTACTTTAGTTATCCCGTTTTTTCCCCATCACATGCCTATTAGAATGATGCTAATGCATTCACATGTTCATGTAAGCCACACTCTCCAGCAGAATAGGCAGGTTTTAAAGCTGCTTTCTCTTAATCAATTAAATAGCCTTCACTTCAACATGTTTTAGAGTGCTGCTTTCTGCAAAAATGTTTAAATAGGCAGTTTTCTTAAGTGCATGGAAACACATTTACTTGTTTAAGTTCTTATACAAAAACCTTTTAATGATCATAGTCTACTTACGTAATCAGGATAGACTGATTCTCACTGTCTGAAACAAGTTCATAATGTTATTTTAAGTAAAACCACTAATCAGATTTTTTAATTTAAATTGTAAATTTATCAAAATATAGGCAGGCTCAGGTTTAGCACAAAATAAGCACACCTCAAAGACGATCTAACTTTTTTATTGGTTTGAAAATTGGATTGAAAATGTATATCCTCACTTACCAGTGAGCATGAACTGGTAGGCGTTGTCGGAGATGGAGAAGATGTGAGGCGGGGCTTCAATCCTCTTTTTGCCTCTGTATCCAGCCACAACAACTGAGTCGTACACTGGGAGCCACTTGTAGGGATTGACAGTGGCGCAGAACAAGCCAGAGTAGGTCTGAAACAGAGATAGATAGTCCAGTTTTACAATGCTGCCATCCAATCCTAGGAATAAAACATGATTTACTTAGACTTACGTAGATCATCCATGCTGCGTAACGCTCTTTGAGGTTATACAGCACAGCAGGCTCATTGAGGTGGGTCATCATGGCCATGTCCTCAATTTTGTCAAACTTGGGAGGATTCATGGGGAAGATTTCAGCTTCTTTTACCGTGAGTGTCTAAAAAGTTTTCAGCAAGGGTGACACATTTACTAAATATGAAAATGTTTGATTCACGTGGCATAGCATCATGCAAAATTGTTTTACAGAAGATCATTACATTTTCTAATTGTACTTACTTTCCCACACTGAGTTTTGACAGTAACTTTGCCACCCTCTCTACTAACGAGAGTACCCTTGAAGTACATGTTCTTTGGCTCTGCCACAAAGAATGCCGTTTTGGCATCAAAGGGGTTGTTTTGAGCCTCGATTGTCTCTCTTTCTGGCTTCCGGAAGTAAATGGCCGCCGGGCCAAAACACTCCATTTCATCATCTCCCATGATTGCGGTTTACTGTGAGAAATGACAAAGGAGAGAATGTGCTGAGGGTCATTCACTCTAGTACTATAGAGCAGTGGTTTTCAAACCCTGAGACTTAAAAAATGGGTCGCCAGGATGATTTGAGGAGAATGTAGGCTATATATGCATAAAATAAAGGTATGCAACAAAGTTCAAGACTCAGAGAAGAAGGGAGCGGGAAATGGCAAACTTTAATTTAATAACAAAATAAACAAAGATAAACAAAATGAAAGTAAGCAGCTACTGCCTCACAGCAGAATCCAGTGTGTATTTGTGTTTGCGCTGTTTTTGCATCGCAGAACATTGTCGCCAATCACAGACATATCTGTTGATTTCTGCAACACAACGGCCAGAGGCGATTCAGTTAGTCAGAATAGTCAGAAGAGAGATTCATTGATTATAGTGGAATTTTCTGAGATAAACTGAAATGAGTGACAACTTTTCAGTGATTAAGGGAGCGCTCTTTGAGTGCTTTCTTGGCTATATATAGACCATTCAGAATTTGAATGAAAGTTTTGTTTTTCATGCTGCTAAGAGGACAAATGTGGCATACATGCTGCAAAGTTTCGGGAGTGATATCTGCACATAAATGGGGGATTCTCTTGAAATCGCAATGACTGACACGATGATAATAATAACAATGGACTTGACAAAATATATGTCAAAATAGATGTGCATGAAGGCTAAAGCAGCCTCACTAATTTCAGCAGCACAGACAGTGATTTGGTTCTTGAACAGAGCATCCTTCCGGAGCTCCTCTGTAGGACTCGAGACCGGTCTGTGGCGCAGTTGTCGCTTCCCGGCGGCACTTCCCTGCTTCAAGCCTCTATCTATCTATCTGCTATAACCAGTGTTGGGCAAGTTACTTCCAAAATGTAATACATTATATGGGCGCTCTGGAGGAGCAGACTCTGGGGGGCGCTCTGGAGGAGCGGGCAATGGAGGACGTTCTGGAGGAGCAGATCTGGCTAGCATGGCTAAGAAGAGCTCTGCCGCAGCGCACCCAGTCTGTCCTCAGCCGCAGTCATCTTGCTTGTTCCTGGTTTTGCGTTCTGTCACGGTCTGTGGTTGCAGTGAAGCACACAACGATTGAGGGAAATGGAAATAACAGTCTTTAATCAGACTTCAAATCAGGACAAATACCAGGAGCAAGGATAACCACTAAACAACATCAACGCAAGACAAGGAAACTGAGGAAATCATAGGGCTTATAAACACATGAAACGCAATCAGGGAGAACAGAAACAGGTGAGGAGTAATCCAGGATAATTAATAGAACACAGCTGAGACAAATGGAACTTAATACAACAGGAATCAAACCAAATGAATTATGCATTTATATAGCGCTTTATTGTGTATTGTTGTACACCCAAAGCGCTTTACGAGAAGTGCCATGGGATTTTTAATGACCACAGAGAGTCAGGACCTCGGTTTAACGTCTCATCCGAAGGATACACAAATAAGGAACATACACGTGACAGAGTGATTTCACATGTTCATTGTAATGAAGAAATGTACTGCTGATTTCATTAGTACAATTAGTGTTTGTATTCCAACAACCTTATTTCTGTTGTGATCCCATCCAAGCAGCAGTGAACACACACACACACCGTGAACACACACCCGGAGCAGTGGGCAGCCATTTTTTTGCTGCGGCGCCCGGGGAGCAGTTGGGGGTTCGGTGCCTTGCTCAAGGGCACCTCAGTTGTGGTATTGAAGGTATTGAAGGTGGGAGAGAACGCTGTACATTCACTCCCCCCACCTACAATCCCTGCCGGTACGAGACTCGGATGAGTTACTTTCATCCAAAATATCCACATAAGTATTGTAAAATGCCAAAATGTAGTTTATTGCTGTTCATACTACATTCAGTGGAGTGTAATGTGGTAGGTCTATATAGCATAAAATATGAAATCATATTTAGATACCGGTATGTAGGTCTACATTAATGTTACGTTGTAGTTTAGTTAAAAAAAATATAGTAAGCACAAATCGCATTATTACATTCATAAATAACACTGGTAAATAAAGCGAAATATTATCATGTACAAACAATAAACACAATACCTAGCCTATAGGCTATTTTGAACGGTTTCAGAAGAAAACAAGAATGAAAAATATAAGTTGCTAAACAAGCCAAAATGAATTAGGCTAATTCAATGCGAAACTGAAAGCAAACGGCGTTCTCGCGCAGCCTACCTCTCTCATTCGGCATTAATCCATTAAATGTGTCCATATTTGCGATGTATTTGAATGCTTTATGTAATCCAAGCTTACTTAACGCACTTAAAAAACATCCTCGTCACATGAGCAAATGTGTGTTTGGCCCGAGCTCAGGCTGATCGACATGGATTGTACTACGCAGTAGGCTACGCACTATTTAAATTAACCAGTGTATCTATGTTTGGTTGACTGTATTTTATTCTGATAATGAACAGGCTGCAACGTTTGCAATGCTGTATGTGTGTGCGTGAGGCGCCGGCGCGATCGAACAGCGGAAACAAACAACAAAAAAATACTCTGTTATTTTTGGTCATACAGATCATTTGAAACTGCAATGTGTTTACTTTATTTCTGTCATCTCGGTTTCCTTTCCCTGGACTTTCGTAGAGCGCCGCGCCACACAAATAGCATATGAACCAAACTCAGCAACATAGCCTATCTCTCAGTCTTTTCCTTTCGTTTTGTTAATCTGTTAATTAGGCTATTTAAGTCAAATATTTCGCATATTCATTCATTTTATATATACACTATGATTTAATAAAAACAGATTTTATTTTTAGTTAAACTTAATTTTTGTTGCTCGTCCGCCGTCTTTTTCTCTTCTCCGACCCCGCAGCTCTCTCTTCGATAGCTTAGTGTTAGTGGCACCAGTCCAGGTGTTTCCAGGTTTTACTCGTGCTATTTCTCCATGTTGAGAGTTTGGTGTTGCACATATTGCACCTGACTATGCATTCTTATCCTTTTCTCCGATGAACTGAAAATAACAGGAGTGTGTCCGTCTCACAAATGTAGAATCCGTCTCTGCAGTCATCTCAACCATCTATTTACAGCAACAGGAAATAGACGAACTATTTTACACGAGTAATTTTTTCGCTGGTGCTGTTTTGTGGTGTTAGTAAATTCACCACTTAATTTTGAGTTAAAATATGTTGTTGTAACTTGCGTTACTGAGATTGTAACGAGTAATAATATTACCCAAATTTGATTAGTAATGCGTTATATTACTGCGTTACAGCAAAAAGTAATATACTACTGTAATATTATTACTTTTGTAATGCGTTACTCCCAACACTGGCTATAACCACTGCTATAGAGTGTGTCACGGTCTGTGGTTGCAGTGAAGCACACAACGATTGAGGTAAATGGAAATAACAGTCTTTAATCAGACTTCAAATCAGGACAAATACCAGGAGCAGGGGCTCTGGAGGAGCGGGCACTTGAGGGCGCTCTGGAGGAGCAGACTCTGGGGGGCGCTCTGGAGGAGCGGGCAATGGAGGACGTTCTGGAGGAGCAGATCTGGCTAGCATGGCTAAGAAGAGCTCTGCCGCAGCGCACCCAGTCTGTCCTCAGCCGCAGTCATCTTGCTTGTTCCTGGTTTTGCGTTCTGTCACGGTCTGTGGTTGCAGTGAAGCACACAACGATTGAGGTAAATGGAAATAACAGTCTTTAATCAGACTTCAAATCAGGACAAATACCAGGAGCAAGGATAACCACTAAACAACATCAACGCAAGACAAGGAAACTGAGGAAATCATAGGGCTTATAAACACATGAAACGCAATCAGGGAGAACAGAAACAGGTGAGGAGTAATCCAGGATAATTAATAGAACACAGCTGAGACAAATGGAACTTAATACAACAGGAATCAAACCAAATGAATTATGCATTTATATAGCGCTTTATTGTGTATTGTTGTACACCCAAAGCGCTTTACGAGAAGTGCCATGGGATTTTTAATGACCACAGAGAGTCAGGACCTCGGTTTAACGTCTCATCCGAAGGATACACAAATAAGGAACATACACGTGACAGAGTGATTTCACATGTTCATTGTAATGAAGAAATGTACTGCTGATTTCATTAGTACAATTAGTGTTTGTATTCCAACAACCTTATTTCTGTTGTGATCCCATCCAAGCAGCAGTGAACACACACACACACCGTGAACACACACCCGGAGCAGTGGGCAGCCATTTTTTTGCTGCCTTCCACTTTCACTCTGAAACAACATAATAAACAACAAACCAGTTATTATACTCGGCATCACAAACATGCAAATGTATGAACACAGACACATGCATGTGCCTACAGACATATGCATGTGTGACATCTCGTCTGGCTCTGTCACGAAGAACGCCGTTTTGGCATCAAAGGGGGTGTTCTGAGCCTCGATTCTCTCTCTTTCTGGCTTCCGGAGGTAAACGGCCACCGGGCCAAAACACTCCATTTCACCATCTCCCATGATTGCACTTCACTGTGGAGTAAAGTATTCACCTTAACACTGCTTAGTATTTATCTCTTTACTCTGCTCAGGTGTTCATATTATAAGCTGGTCATCTTGTCATCATAATTGCAATATTTTAATCAGCTACTTAGTACTTGGTTTACCTTTTATGATGCTCCGAGAAGAAAATAGCAGCTGTCAAGTTATGGATTCTGAAAAAAGACCAAGAGGTAGTTAGAGAATTGTATTTGCATCTTCAATTATGGGTCAGTATACATCCTTTGATTCAGGACACTTAGTTTTCCTACATTAATTATTTAAAAAAAAATCAAACTGACAAATTAAAATGGATATTTCCCCCACCTTTGCCTGGTCGCTCTAAGTCTTCAAGGGTCAGGTGCTGCCATTTATATAGTGTCATTACTGAGCACTCAGCAGATTAGTCCAGCCGGATTTGGTCATGTTATTTTACTTGGTGTGATGTTTCTCTGTGCCATTGGGAAATAGGAAGATGATGTCATTTATTCAATACGA